GGTCAGGCATATTTTTCAAGCTTGCCCGGTGTGGATATACACTCAGAGTAACATCACAAGCATCATATTCACCTGAGTACATTACACCAACACAGAAAAATCATGATTATTATTAGATAACATTGATATCGAAGGAACTAGACTCTGTTCCGAAATATCACATACTCGAACCGACCAGACCGCGTAGCTCAGTTGGCAGAGCATTGGGCTAGTATTCCAAAGGTCGTAGGTTCGATTCCCACCGTGGTCTGGCATATTTTTCAAGCTTGCCCGGTGTGGATATACACTCAGAGTAACATCACAAGCATCAATGAGTAAATTATTTGGCATTCCAGTAATATAAGGATGACAAAAATTTCTTGCAAGATGTAAGAAAATTTCCTGCGAAGAAAAATTTCTGGCAGAGGTGGTCCAGTGTTGGAAAATGCCTAGTAGCAGCATCTGCCGCACGTCAAACTCTTGTCACTAAACAAGGATAAACACACTCATCTTGGGTCTTGGTTAGATACTCACATGTCCATGAATTTGCATATTAGCAAAATCTGCAGCAAGGCCTTTCGAAGCCTTTACCATATCAAACAAATCAGGAAATACTTAACTGACGATGCTACCAAAATTTTAGTTCATGCATTTATTTATTACATTCCATTTGGATTATTGCAATTCTTTGCTGTATGGCCGAATCCAAAATATCAATTAAATCGATTGCAGAAAGTGCTAAACGCTGCTGCTCGTGTTGTATGTCTTGTACCTATTAAGTTTGATCACATTACACCTACATTAATGAGACTGCATTGGAGCATTGGTGACCGGTTAAATATCGTGTTATATCAGTTCAAGATCGTACTGTTGGTTTATAAAGCTCTGCATGGATTAACTCTCAAATATATTTGTGACATGTTGACTTATAAACAAAGTAATAACTACTCTTTGAGATCGGACGAACTACGGCTTCTTCATGTTCCAAGCACACGTAGAAAATCTTTTGGTGATCGTGCCTTTTTGAAAGCAGGACCTATTCTATGGAACTTACTACCGTGTGCATGAGATTCGGCTTTCACCTTCGTTGGATTCTTTTAAGACAAATCTTATAAGACATTTTTGTATAGAGATGCGTACATTAATAATACTTCTTGTTTTTAAATATTTTTAAATAGATGCTTATAGTAGTTAAATGTTGTGTAAATAACGTAGGGAAATTTTTAAAATTCTATAGTTTTAGCGCGGTACAAATTAATAAATTATTATTATTATTATTATTATTATTATTATTATATAGCACGAGAATTAACGATTCTCGTGGCCGGATTAGATTCATTTCAATAATAAACACTTTGCCAAATATGATACGAGCATGTGTGTTTTGGCTTTTACGTGCCTTTTTGCTTTGCCACTCAACCGTCTGACAGTTGACCTCGTACCGTACGTGCGACCAGCGAGGTATCCGATACAATTCTGTGACGACCTGAAGCGGATTCAAACGTCTCGATAACTTTGTGAGCGTTTCAATATGGCTTTGTTGTCAGTTCTATGGTTCGTCTGCCTCGTTTGTATTTCACAAACATACGGTAAACTAGAACTGCTCGGAAACGATGCCCAATGGGAAGTCTGGAAACAATATCACAGTCTACGAGAATGAATTGACGTCTACGAGAATGAATTATCACCGTAAGGCTATCTGGCAAGCGACCTTGTAAGCAAAGCAGTTTTGTAAAAAACAAATTCTGAAAAGACAAGACATCTTGAGAATACAAATACAATATATGATTCAAAATAAGACGCAGGTTGAGACTGTAAATTTTCGATATATATATATATATATATATATAAAGTAAATCACCAACCCTTCCCCGATAAAGTTCAATAGCATATTAATATAAATAAATCACAAACTAAACTTTTTTATTACAACACTTATTCTAAACCAACGTTTCGGGGCATGCCCCTTCATCAAGGATGAATAACGAAGTCAATGGCCTAATGTCCTTTATAAGGACATTAGGCCATTGACTTCGTTATTCATCCTTGATGAAGGGGCATTCCCCGAAACGTTGGTTTAGAATAAATGTTGTAATAAAAAAGTTTAGTTTGTGATTTATTTATATATATATATATATATACAGTATATATAACTACAGACGGTACCGTTTCGGCCTAATGGGCCTCATCAGTGTAGTGCTGATGAGCAGGATGAAAGTAACTCTTATTTATAGTTACCCTTGATGCCTCACGATTGTGGGACATCAAAACCATGCCAGAGCGCTCAAACTGCAAGCAGTGAGCGTGCGCAATGCGTAAGCGGCATGGCTCATCCTGTAGAGCGCTCAATATGACCTAAAGGCCATAGAGCGATATCTAACTACAGACGGTACCGTTTCGGCCTAATGGACCTCATCAGTGTAGTGCTGATGAGCAGAATGAAAGTAACTCTTATTTATAGTTACCCTAAATCCTAAAGAAAAGGTGAAGTTTCTAAAGGGGGGCGAATTTCCTAAAGGGGGGCGAAATTCCTAGTATATTCGCCCCCCTGGGGGGGGCGATATTCCTAGGAAATTCGCCCCCCGGGGGCGAAAATGTAGGGGGGGCGAAAATCCTGGGACACCGGACTGAGTTTAGTCAGAGCTATGTTTATAGTCAACCCGGGCTGAAATGTCAGACCGGGCTGAGTGAAATAATCTGAGTGTCACGAAATAGGACAATAAGCCTGTTATGCTTCTTTGAAGCAATCAGATGCTGATTAGTCGACTATTTGACTTGTGTGAGACTGTGGTTATATGTAAAGTATTTAAAGATGAAACAAACATGCAAAATAAAGCCATTTAAACGGTTGTATTTTCAGCCCGGGCTGAAATTTCAGCCTGGGCAGCTCAAACCAGGCCGAAATTTCAGCCCGGCTGAAACTCTCTCCATCAAGCATCAGCAGATTGTTCAGTTGTTTTGCAATAGGGGTAGCCTTGAAGGTGTCATTATTGCATTAAAACGATAATTGGAACAAAAACTAACTTAATATTTCTATATATGGAATTATTATTAAATTCTACATGTCAAATGATTCATTCAAGTATTATCGTTTATATATATGTAGAATATTTTGTACAGTATTCAGTGGGAAGCTAGCTACCATGGCAACTGGTCATGCCACGCCAATAAACCTGTACTATTTGAATAATGCAAATCATTATATTAAAAGCTCGCATAGCGTGACCTGTTGCTATGTCAGCTTCACAGGCTGACAGTGTTATAATTATACATACAAAAGCAAGAAGTTATAAGCATTGAATGTATTCATATACATTTAGCTGATCTTTCGACTTTTCCTGTTTACATGATGGAAGTTGGGATGATTTTTGATGTATTGGAATAAGTCACTAGGCTAAACAAAAGTTCAAATGCTTGTTAACAGAACTCAAATATTGTAGACAAGATCTTGTAGTTCAAAAAGATTATAATTGCTGCTTGAACAACCTTTCGTTTACAGTAACTATAATCTATCTCTAGAAAAGTAATGTTTTTTGCTGAATTGTGCACTGTGACTCGTTTCAATACATCGAAATCATCCTGCCTCATATCTCGTCCTGGCGAAGCGGGATCATATAAACAGACCCTTATTCAGCAAATTGCGCATGGTGCCATCCCTTGGGGGTGAGGCAGCATTTTCCTTGCGATAGTAACTTCTAGTATACTTAATCTTTGTCAGTAATCCAGCGCTTCCACTTTGAAGGAAATTTTCTTTTGAAAGGAAATTTTTACAAAATGAAAACAGCTGGGAAATTTGTTGTCGCTGTGCAGAGAAATTGCAGGCGCACGCGATATTTTAAAAAAATTCGAAAATTTGAAAAAACAACACGAGTGAAATTTCAACTGATGATTTTGCATTTTTAAGACGGCGATCAAGGAAATTAAATTTTTGGAAAAACTTCACTAACATCTCAAGTATGGAAAGCATCTACATTACCAGAAATTTAATTGTGGATTGATTCAAAATTCAGGCGATAAAGTTACATAGCTAGGAGTTGGCTTTTGTGCTCTTCGAATATCAGTTTTCATTCGCGGATTACCATAACTTGTTGGCCTCATGGGTGCCAAAATCGACATAAACGTAAACTGGTAACCAACAGCTATAAAACAAATAGCTTTTCAAAAAGATAAACTTTATTCAGTCAAAAGGATGAGGGTAAATAAACATGCTACTGCGTGATAGTGATTTCGAAGCAACTTTGTCACATATATTTTAAAAAGTGTGATAATGAATCAAATTTTGCTTTTTGCAATCCCAAAAAGGTATGAAAATTATTTAAATATTTAAAGTTTCCGTGTTTCTAAAGTATTTTTTTGAGAAAAGTAAAAATTTTCCCGATAAAAAGCATAGTTTCTGCAGAAAACTGTTTTCTGATAGAGAAGGTCCTGGGGGAGGGGGTGTAGAAGCGTGGGCGGATAGCAAAAAACCTTGACGTTTCCTCCAAAAAATTAATACCAAATTTTGTTTTGCCTTTGTTTGATATGTAATTTAGACAAGTTTTTTTACATCTAAAAATTGCCCCTAGTGGTCAAAACATGGATTATTTTCGCAGTATTGGCCATTTGTTTACTTTTGGGGATCAAAGTTTGAGGTCCAATTATTTTTAAAGTTTGCAAACTACCCAACTAATTCTTGGCTGTTGTTTGCAGCCTTGTATGCTGATTAAAATTTAGTTTAGTCCACAATAGTAGATCCTTTCAATGAAGGGAAATTCAAAATAGTATATTTGATTACTTTTACAGCACAATCATTACATAGGTAGGGTGCAATACCAGGCCAAATTGCAAAAAAATTTACCGATTCCTCCAAATTTAAAATCATATTTTTTTGCTCCCAAGGCACATAGGAAACATAATTTAACAATGAATTTTGTTGAAAAATTGCCCCTTTGCGTCTAATTTCGCTTTGAAATGCGTGCGTTTACTGCTCTTGTATGAAGCAAAAGTTCGAAAACATTCCGAAGTACTGTAAGATGTAATGAAATCGACAACTTGACCTTGCCCTTGAGACCTAATTGTACTGCCTCATCAGCCTCAGCACTGAAATGTTTTTTGACAACGATAATTTACCAGTGTTTCTTGAATATTTTCCTTGGTTAACTAGTAGAACCGAACGTACAAGTGTATCAGAAGACTAAACGAGAGTTTTGTATAGAAATGTTCTGTTTACGGGAAGTTATTTTGCATTCGCAAGCGTCAACAAAACTGCGGCATTTTCGCAGTTTGATTAGGCCATGGGAATGAAAGTCATAGATTTGCGTCCACCGCCCGCATGCCTCAAAAGCTACCGCCTAAAATTTTCATTATTTACAAAAAAATTCATTATTTTCACAAATAAAGCAAAACTCAATAAAATTAGCAATAAAATTGTGTATTGATTACAATAAAATGAACATATTGCAGTGTGTTTGTCCTCAGTATCCACATTCTATGAAATTCCAAATTATATATTCACCGAAATGGCGAAATTGGCACACAGATCTTCAGTACTGCAACTGCGTGAGCTCGAGATATATGTAATTCCGTGGCGTAAACGGTAATTTGTGTTTTGATCTCTGTATTTACCACCCAAAAGGATGGTAAAAAAATAATGAATAATGAATAATGAAAAAAACCCGCATGTTTTTTCAAAATTATCCGGACGCAAATCTATGACTTTCATTCCCATGGCCTTATCATAGCGATAGATAAAAGCTTTGAAAATCATTCAATTGAAAACATTTTAAACCACCCGTATTTGTATAGAATATATGTTAGTTGTATTAACAATGAACTTCTTTCTGTTTCAACCCAAATTTCTACTTGTTTTGCGGTTGACAAGGCTATCAAGCTCGCGACGATTGGCTTTTATACCTCAGGCATGACTACAGATTTAGCGTGTCAAATGTCTTCTTGTTTGTGTCAAGATTATAATATTCTATTGCTGTTCAAACGAGATATTCTATACACTGGAAACGCAGAGTACATTTTACTTTGTCTTTGTCTAAAGCAAAAAAAGTATAAAGATTAAACAGGCATTCAAAAATATACAAACGAACATCTCGTAATATTTCTTCGGGGAAATCTTCAAGTTTCAATGGAAATCTGGCGCATGCGCAACAAATTTCCCAGCTGTTCAAAATGAAGGAAATTTGAAGGAAATAAATTTTGAAGGAAATGTGAAGGAAATTCTAGAAGAATGAAGGAAATTTGAAGGAAAAAGCAATATTTTGCCAAAAGTGGTAATATTTAGATTGATGTCCAACACCGGCGATTCGAGTCAAATGGAAAAATGAGACTTCAGGTTGTTCAAATGGATCGATTCGCAAAATTTAGTTGGAATAAATAGGGTTAGTTTGTTTCCATTCGACTAAGACTTGTCGAATGGTCAAATGGTGACCAAGGATGCATTGGGCTGAAAAAGCAAGGCTAGTCGAATGGATCAAATGGATCGAATGGATCAAATGGATCGAATGGATCAAATGGACACGGTTAGTTTCCATTCGACTAAGACTTGTCGAATGGTCAAATGGTGACCAAGGATGCATTGAGCTGAAAAAGCAAGGCTAGTATAATGGATCAAATGGATCGAATGGATCAAATGGATCGAATGGATCAAATGGATCGAATGGATCAAATGGACACGGTTTGTTTCCATTCGACTAAGACTTGTCGAATGGTCAAATGGTGACCAAGGATGCACTGAGCTGAAAAAGCAAGGCTAGTATAATGGATCAAATGGATCGAATGGATCGAATGGATCAAATGGATCGAATGGATCAAATGGACACGGTTTGTTTCCATTCGACTAAGACTTGTCGAATGGTCAAATGGTGACCAAGGATGCACTGAGCTGAAAAAGCAAGGCTAGTATAATGGATCAAATGGATCAAATGGATCAAATGGACACGGTTTGTTTCCATTCGACTAAGACTTGTCGAATGGTCAAATGGTGACCAAGGATGCACTGAGCTGAAAAAGCAAGGCTAGTATAATGGATCAAATGGATCGAATGGATCAAATGGATCGAATGGATCAAATGGATCGAATGGATCAAATGGACACGGTTTGTTTCCATTCGACTAAGACTTGTCGAATGGTCAAATGGTGACCAAGGATGCATTGGGCTGAAAAGGCAAGGCTAGTCGAATGGATCGAATGGAGCAAATGGATCGAATGGATAAAGTGAGCCACGCAAAGCTGTTACATCGCCTTCGTGAATTCGGGTTTGGAGGAAGCATTCTCAAATGGTTCGGTTCATATCTGATCAACCGATATCAACAAACGACCGTTCTTGGAGCAACGTCGAGGCCGCTTCCAGTAACATCAGGAGTGCCGCAGGGGTCCATCCTCGGTCCATTATTGTTCCTTCTATATGAGAATCATCTCTCCAATTCCGTGACCAATTCAAGGATTGCTATATTCGCGGACGATACCAAGATCTTCAAGACCATCAATTCGATCTCTGATGCGTCTGCTCTACAGAATGATCTGTCAAACTTCCAAGAAAGCTCAAGCACTATTAACCTCGAATTAAATAACACCAAATGCAAAGTCTTAAGAGTCACCCGAAAGCACAATAAAATTACTTATCCATACCAACTTAACGATACCATCCTAGAATGCACGGACTGTGAACGAGATCTTGGAGTTTTAACATCTTCTACTCTGACTTGGTCTAAACAAGTTGACCACCTGTGCAACAAAGCCACCAAAATGCGAGGATATGTCCGAAGATCAACCTTAAACATCAAAGATATCACGGTTCGCCGCAGACTATATTTATGTCTTGTTCGTTCCCAGCTATGCTATGGATCTCAAATTTGGGCACCACAATCAGTAACCTTAATTAAACGCGTGGAAAGACTTCAAAGACGCGCAACAAAGTACGTCCTGAATCTGCCCTTCCGTTGTGACACAACCTACAACCAGAGACTTGCACTTTTAGATCTCCTTCCATTGTGCTACTGGCATGAATTTCTAGATATGGTAACCTTCTACAAATTAACGCATGGCATCATGACCATTGACAGTAATTTAATACAGTCGTCACCCAATAACAACAGAAGACAAACCAGGTCGTCTAATCCCAATCACCTGTCAATCACAACGGCACAATGCAAGACCACTACCTACCAAAGGTCATTTCTCAACCGAACAAAGAGACTATGGAACGCATTACCAAAAAGTTTGACAAGCAATAACATTAGTTTAGGACAATTCAAAAACGGACTTTCAAAATATTACAAGTTAGCGTTGGAAGACGTTTTTAACGTTGATGATCCAAGGACATGGAAATCTATATGTTTGTCTTGTAACAAGTCTCGTAATCTGTCCTGTCAAATGTCGTGTTGTTATTAGATTTATGTTCGTTGTATATTGTTGTATAGTATTAAAATAGTTAATGGGGCCGCTGTAATTGGTGAAAACTGTTGCGTGCACCCTGCCAATGAAACACATATTATTATATGTTGTTGTAAATCAGTGGTGTTATATGTTGCATGTTACTTGGCAAAGTTAAATAAATTAAATTATAAATTATATATATATATATATATATAGAGAGAGAGAGAGAGAGATTATTATTTATTATTTATTTTAACTTTACCACATATAGTGGCAGGGTTACCAAGTGTAATATCTGTAAAGTAAATATTTAAATGTGGACAAGGAAAAGATGTAGTCTTTCTTTCGTTATAGTTCTTTGTTTCTTATTATAATAGTTTTTTATAGTCTTAGCAAGGCTAAATAATGATAATTGGCTTATTATAGCTAAAGGCTATAATTATATATTAATCTTTCATTGTCTGTATATATGAACAAAGAGCTCAATACCATAGAGCAAAATTTAGTTTAATCTTAAAATAAACGAATTAAGATATATATATTTCTTATAGCTAGTTCTTTAATTCTTTCGTCAGTTCTTTCTTTCTTTCTTTCTTATAGTTCTTTAATTCTTTCAATCCAAACTATATATTTTGACGTATAATTGCCTTATTATAGCTAAGGCTAACTGATATATGCAACAGTTAAATTAGGCTACATAAGAAAATATTCCCAAGAGACGTTATACTTCAGCAGTATATGGTGCACTATATTATATGATCAAATACTTCCTATATAGATCTGTTTGGATGGTACAATAACCATCTATGATTAGTCAATATACAATTCAAAAAGTGATTTTTGTTGCATGATAAAGACATGAATAATGGCCAATAATATACTATCTAAACAGCGGCCGGAAAAGGCCGTTACTATATATGTATATAAGTAAAGAGGCCGTTAAAAGATCAACAAAGCATTTCAATGATGGACTGGTCTATAAGTTTAGAAAGCATGCATGATATGGTGTCGATTATGAAAAATTAAAAAATCCTTGTAATGCTGATAATTGTTTATTTAAAAAAATCATGATTTTTAATTGGTGGAGTGAAATCGTCATATATCAACTCAAAGAGCGACCAAATATTGAGTTGTGACGTAATGTTCAATGGTGTGACGCGATATTACAGCATTCCAATGGCTAATGACGACTGCCAAAGTATATATATATATATATATATATATATATATATATATATATATATATATATATATATATATATATATATATATATATATATGTTAATCACCGTAAGTAAGTATTTTTTAGTGAACAGGAAAAGTTGAGACTGAGTCGGATATATATATATATATATATATATATATAGCTTAAGATTTTGGTTTACGAAACACAAACAGTGCTCAATACCATATAGATAGAGCGTAATATAGTTTTTCGTTTTACCTCAAAAAACCACAACAGTCTGTTTCATCCGTATAGGAATCATCTGGTGGTGATGATGATTCCTATACGGATGAAACAGACTGTTGTGGTTTTTTGAGGTAAAACGAAAAAATATATATATATATATATATATATATATATATATATATATATATATATATATATATATAGGAATTGTCACAATACAAATTATAGCTTTCTAAAACTGGCCACCGCATGTTTCAGCTTTTAGAATCTTTTACACAATAAGTTCGTATACGTGCATATAATCACATGTCATTGTTTAATTTTACACAAATATTCCGCAATCGTGACATTAAGTGGGCCTAACTCAGGTATTTAAGAATTTCTCGAGGCAAAATAGCCTCATTTCAGACGAAGTATATACAATATGGCCACAACAGCGTTGTCTAGTCCTAGACGGAGCAAAATGGGTCCAAAAAAGGGACGAAAATGTGGATATATTAACGATGATCTTTTGGTATGTGCACATAAGCGTTAACGGTTAGCACTGAACAGATGATAAACCGGATATACAGACAAGCAAGTTTTCTATGACAAGTTTCCATATGGTAAGTTTTATTTTTTGCTAATTCAACGTGCGTACATATACATGAGCACATTTTCTGACAAGTGTTTGGTTTCCTGCATGGCTGCCACGATAGCTCAGGGCAGTATAATCACTATTCACTATAATCACAACATCGGTATTATTTATGCAACAGTTATATTCCCAAGACGTAACTTTAGCATGCAGTTATATGGTTTCTGAGGGTTATTCGACCGGTGTTGCCTTCTTTGTAAAAAAAGCTGCAGTTGATTGTATTGTACTATAGTGGGTTTATGATATACTGTATATGGTCAAATACTTCCTATTCTTGGGTTTCATATAACGTCACAGAAGTGACGGGGGCTCAACTCTAAAACAAAACACAGTTATCAGAGTGAGACGATTGTTCGTTTTATGTATTTGCCCTGTGTTTGGTGGCAAATACATGGAATTTCGTATAATTTTCTCACTCCAGTACAGCATAAGCGTCAATACATTTGAGGTTGACCCCCCGTCAGACTCACTGCATAATGCCCTAGTGAAACCCAAGAACAGACTGGTTGGATGGTAAAATAACCATATCTGATTATAGCATTTCAATTGTTGCGAAAAATAGAACCTACATGATTCTACTTTGTTCAATGCTTGCATGCATGTTATAACAAAAATGTTGCGAGACTTGACGATTGCGAGACATGTGACACCTTGCAATTTCGCGTGTAACTTGTGTCGCAACAACGTTGTGACATAAGTTGCGAGACAAGTTGCATAGTATAAAATATAACAGCGCCTTAACAGACAAACCTGCAGCAGACTTGTATAGCATTACCCTCACAAACCTGCAGCAGACTTGTAGCATTACTGTTCCAACAACTTGTCAACAGGATGTGTTCGCATTGCTTGTTCCCAACTTGTTGACAAGTTGTCAAAGGCTTGTTGACAACTTGCTACAAGGTTGTTGAGCTCAACAGACTTGTTACAAGTTGTTCCAACAACTTGTTATCGTCCTGCAATTCATCAATTTGTCAACAGGTTGTGAGTGAGAACCTTGTAGCAACTTGATAAAATAACAACATTGTTACCAGCTTTCTACAAGCCTGATGCCTTGGCTTGTTGATAAGTTGTGAGATTTGTACGCGTGAACTGTGCATGACCAAATATGGAGTTTCGACACAATATTCAACGGAGTGAAGTAATTATGACGTCATGCCAAAGACGAATGCTGAAGGCGTAAAAATTATACCTCGAGAAGCTCTTGAGAGGCAAAATAGCCTCATTTCAGACAAAATATACAATATGACCACAACAGCATTGGATAGTCCTAGACTGGGCAAAAGGAGTCCAAAAACCGGAAGAAAATGTGCAAATTGTGGATATATAAACGATGATGTTTTGGTATGTGCACATTTTGTACCATACCCATGTTTGTTTGTTTGTGCATGTCTGTCGTGTAATAATTTATATATTCCGATATGAATCCGGTATCGTGAAACTGGGGGCCTTAGTCCAAGTATAGTCTAAATTTACAATTATACATACACAATAGCCAGATTCTTATATAAATGGTATTTACTATGAAAATATATGTTTATACATAAGTCTGCATAACTCTCATCATAACATATAGGCCTCATCAGTGTAGTGCTGGTGAGCAGGATGGAAGTAACTAGTATTAATAGTTACCTTTGATGTCTCAAAAATGTGGGACATCAAACCATTGCCAGAGTGCTCAAACTGCAAGCAGTGAGCGTGCGCACAAATGAGTAAGCAGCAATGGCTCATCCTGTAGAGTGCTCAATATGACCTAAAGGCCATAGAGCAATATCTAACTACAGACGGTATTATAATAATATAATATAATATAATATAATATAATATAATATAATATAATATAATATAATATAATATAATATAATATAATATAATATAATATAATATAATATAATATAATATAATATAATATAATATAATATAATATAATATAATATAATACCGGTATAATATAATATAATATAATATAATATATAATATAATATAATATAATATAATATAATATAATATAATATAATATAATATAATATAATATAATATAATATAATATAATATAATATAATATAATATAATATAATATAATATAATATAATATAATATAATATATATATGGTTTTAATTGAAGCTATATGCAGGTGCGTGACTGTGTCTTACCACATGCTGAGTTAATTTAAACATGTAACAATGATGATCATGACTAGCTGATGAAGATACGAGCTTAAAGACGAGCAAGTTTTCTATGACAAGTTATGTTTTTTGCTAATTGAACACGTGTGTATATACGCTCGTGAGCAAATTTTCCGACAATTGCTTAATGTTGAGACCACCACGATATAGCTCAGGGCTGAAGCGACGAAGCGTGAGAAACCTCTATATACTATAGGGCACTCTGCGGGGAGTGCATTTCATTTTCTATTAAGGCTTACAAGTCGGCTACTTCTTGAGCAGTTGTAACAAAAACAAGCTCATGATTCATCAACAGTGACACAATGACTACAACAACAATTTTATAGTCTTTGTCACATATTGTATTCCAGTCCTATAAGAATTACAAATATTCTTGACCGACGTTGTGTCCAATTAATGTTCCTGTATGCGTTTTGCAGTCATATAGCGGTCTCGACTTTATAGCAGTATGGTTTCAGTGGGGGTTATTCGATTGGTATTATTTTTTAACTTTGTATATTATTATAGTATAATAATTAGGTATTTCATGATAAGTAACATTTAAAAGGGTTTAAACGTTTTCGTGCGTACACGCATGGTCGATTTCACAAAACGTTTGCCAAAATGTTCCGAAATTCGCAAATTTCGTTCCAAAGTTCATATAACAATATTGACAAACCAGTTTGTAAACTATAAGTATTCGATTATCAAGCGGAACTTTGTGGTTGAAAGGAAGTTATTCATCCCAAAAAATTAAATACTCTTTTGTGCGGCAATGTCTGCCCAACAGCACATATACTCGTCTCGAAATTAGCTAAGCAGATTTATGCAAGTATAATTTTGAAATGAACCAATGAAAAAGGCCGATCATATTTCGCCGGTAGCTGAACGGCATTAGCGTCAAAGGAATGTCATCCCGTGAACCAGGGGGGAGCGGGATGCAGCCTGCGAGCAGACTACGTCTGATTGGCCTGCGGGAAATTACGCTGAAATGAGCTAATAATAGTTTGACATTTTAGCAGAATGTTTTGACATGAAAAGAAGACACTTTTCTTCCTTTTCGCGGGTTTGGTAATAATTTCACATGCATGCGTGAAATAATTCGTGAAAATATAGCTATAGCCAATAAAACCAGCCTCCAGCCGCGACCAGACACATTTATGAAAACATTAGCCTTATACATGCAATTATCTAAAAGCGCGCGGGTTGGCTAAATGGCAATGCATAGTTGTTGTCACAGTAAATCTGGGAGTGTTGGTTGCCCGTTTACACTACGCTCGATTTTTGGTACCAATTTTATCCGTGCCGTACCAAAATTTGAGCGTAGTGTAAACGGGGCTTAAATATTCGTAGTTCTTCTTGTTTGGGCTAAAAAGACACGAGTGCACGTAGTTAAATGTCAAAGAATTGGATATACTTAACAGTCAACAAGCTGCAACTATGCAAAAATTGTAATAATTTAATTATACATAATTTAAATAGCTTTACTTTCATATGTAAACCCAAATTGCGTATATGTAAAATTCTGAATTTCACCGATGAAAAGATGGTAAATTATCGAATATTGATTGAATTTCACTGGTTTTAGGCTACAAAAATGTGGTTGCATATGACTATACTATTGTATTTGTATTAAAACTTTATTTAGAGATACTAGCCCCGTCAACGGTGCGTTGGTTTCCACGGGGGGCGTCTACAATGTTAAAAATTACAAAAGATATAAGGGAAAAGAAGAGTATTTACAAATTGGTGTGACCCCAGATGTTATGGTTAGACGGAGTTACAATTTATTTCAAATATATATAGTATTAGAGTTAAGTTTTAAATGGCTTTTGAACAGGTGCATTGATTCTGCCAGTTTCGTATCGATAGAGAGACTATTCCATAGCTTAGCCCCACTGTATTTAAAACTCTTTTTGAGGAATTCTCTTTTAGGCTTAGGAAGAGCCAAATCTGTATGACTATTTCTAAGATCATAATTTGTTTGCATATGATTGCGTCTTATCAAGGATTCTTTCAACGTAGGTCCTACGTAATCCTTCAAGACTTTTAACATTAATA